ATTCCCGTGTGTCGTGTTAGCATATTGAATTAGGTTAGCCCATTCCTACTGATTGGGTTGCAGTAACGTAACACGTTCAGGCAATTCACATAAATGGACGTGCAGCATTTCTCCAACGCAGCACACCACAATGCTACCTTAGTGTGTGGGGTGCCATTGAAAATGAATGGCACTGCAACATGCCAACGCAAGTAACACAGGGAAAAGTGTGTTTCAGCCCTGAGGCACTATGGCAGTGAGGCGTCCACACCTGCTGTGATCCTTATGAGGGGTCCCACTCTCTACTTATTTTATATTATGGAGAATGTGGCAAGAGAGGCTGAAATAAAAAGTGGGCGAGAACACATAACTTCAGGGGAACAGGAACAGAACCAGGAATTACAGCAGGGAGATATTACAGTTGAAGTATCCAAGATGTAGAAGAAGCCCGGGTGCTAACTCGGCCCCACCAGGCTTCATCTAATACTAAAACATCACTTTTGGGTGAACCCTCAGTTTACAAATGGTCTGCTGTGTTTTATCTTGGAGAGGCCTAAAGCTTATCTGACCATCTTTAGGCATTTATGCCATCCACTAGGTGCCTTAATGGTCTGATTGTGTGACCGCATGGGTTGTCTTTATAGAGAGGGTTGGAGCTGGCACATTACAGCACCATCAGCACTGGCCCATCATGGGGATGTGCGGCCGCACTGCTCGCACACCCCTAAGGCCGGCCCTGGGGGAGCGTACGGAAAAGATCCAGTATGTCTAATTCCCCCTGATAAGCTTCAGCCAGTGTCCCACAGATATTATATCATCTCCTAATGCGGCTGTTTTTGGACTGTCATTTAATGTCTACAAGCACCTTAAATCAGATCTTGCAGTAAGTGGCAAGATCAGCTATATACTGTATATCAGTTCTCCCTCCCCCATAAAGAAGTGTGAAAATGGAAAAATAAAAAACCAAACTAATAAAAAAAAGTTAGAAAATACACCCATGCAGAGTGTGATGTCATGATCCTCCCAGTGAGATCCCAGAGAATTAAGAGTATTCCAAGACACTCCATCGCAGGAGCCTTTTCTTACATGACTTAAGATACTTAGCAGTCCCAGCCATCTCAATGTATGATCACCTCGGCCAAAAGCTAGGGGTTTGAGAAGTACTGCATATTTAATGACTTTATCCCCTATAAGGTTTTTTTTTCACTTTTATGCTGCTTTTTATTATGGGGGAGGAGGCCCTGATATATTAAACAAGTCTTTCTACTTTACCTACATTATATACTGTAACGTAAGTGTGCCGAAGAGAAGGAACACTGCAGGAATGAAGGCAATTAAAAAATGTTTTCAATGGTGGACAGAAAAGAGCATTTCAACTTTACAGTGTTAGGAAAAGCCCCACTAGGTAGTTTTAAAACATGCTATTGAACAAGGGACAAGACAAAGCGCCTC